CCATCCATCCATCCATCCATCCATCCATCCATCCATCCATCCATCCATCCATCCATCCATCCATCCCTCCCTCCCTGTCCATCCATCCATCCATCCATCCATCCATCCATCCATCCATCCATCCATCCCTGTCCATCCATCCATCCATCCATCCATCCATCCATCCATCCATCCATCCATCCATCCATCCATCTGTGAGCTGGGTTTTCATGGCCACGTTTTGGCAGCTGGGAGGTTCCAGGGGCAGCTACTGTGAGCCTCCTCCATGTCCAAAGGAGCCAATTCCAGCTGGCTCCAGGACGGACCTGCCACTGGCCAAGGCCAAGCGCAGTGGTGACAGTGGTGTCAAGACTTGTGACCCTGTGGGTGACCCACGCTGGAGCAGCCTGTTCCTGAAGGACTGGCYCCTTGGAGGGACCCATGCTAGAGGGGAGAAGTGAGCAGTCCTCTCCTGAGGAGGAAGCAGTGGCAGACACAACGTGTGATGAGGACCACAACTCTGTCCCCCTGCACGGCTGGGAGAAAACTGGAGGAGAAATCAGGAATGAAGTTGAGCCCAGGAAGAATGGAGGCATGACTGGAAGGTTTGAGATTTGGGTTTATTTCTTATTGCCCTACTCTGAYTTGATTTGCAAAAAATTAAACTTTTGTGTCTGTTTTGCCTGTGATGGTAATGGGTRGGTGATCTCTCCCTGCCCTTATCTTGATCCAGAAGCCWTCTGTTATATTTTCTGTCCCCTGTCCAGCTGAGGAGGGCAGTGATGGGGAAGCTTTGGTGGGCACCTGGTGTACTTCTGGACCCAGCCCACCACAATCTGCTGCCTGTGACAGCGGGAAGTGGGAACAGGGGCTGTGTGTCCTGCAAAACCTTTGGAGCAAAGGAGGCAGGGATGCCCAGTCCAAAGCATGTCTGAGGGGCCACAGGAGCCTGGACAGGCCACAGCTGCAGCCCCATGCAGCAGCCAGGGGAAGGTCAGCAGGAGGCTGGGATGGGGACAAGGGCTCTGCCATGGGCTGGGAGATGGAAGGAAGCCAGAATCCGTGAGCAGACTGAAGCACCAGGAGACAATTTCCCATCCCAAAATGTGCAAACATGTTCTGTGTCATTTCGTGCCAATTTTTTTGCAAGTTGGTGACCTCTGCAATTGGTATTTAGTAAATACCTCAGCAAACAGGATTGCAGCAGCCCTCTGGCTACATAAAATGTCATCACCAGGCCTTCCATGTCCTCGGGGCAGTGGGGACTGTTCTGCTGGGAAGGTTCTCCCAGCACAGCCCTTTCCACCCCACATCCTTGTTGGTTCTGCCCATCATCTGTGACCACTGAATCASGGCTGGGAAGCAATGGCCAGTCCCCATGGGACACTGCCAGCCCAGAGGGACACTGTAGGGGACTCTGCCCTGCTGGGAGAGGTGGCAGTGCCCATCAGTGTGTGCTGTCCTTGTGTCCTGCCCCTCACAGCTCTGCCAAGGTCTGAGAGCAGAGCAGGCTCTGCCCTTAGTCTGGCACAGACTGGGGGCCGCACGCACCGACCTGTCTGGGGACATCTGCTGCTGGTGCCACCAGGGAGGGCAGSGCTGGCCCTCACCCAGCGGGCTGTGAGGGCTGCCCAGCCCTGCCCTAGGAACAGCAGTGGCTCAGAGGGCCACACGTCACATACGTGACCTCAAAAGGGAAACGCTAAGCTGCTCTGCTTTGGGAGAAGCTTAGCACTTAAAGCTGATTTCAACAGCTTTTGCCTAAAGTTTTAAGACCCGTCACTAATCAGCAGCTGGTTTATGGCTGTTGTAAAAGATCAGAAAAAAATAAAGAAATCTCCTGAAGTTGGGGGAGTGCTTCCCAGCTCCTGCATCCATCACGGCTGTGCCGACATTTACGAGCACAGGGAGCCATAAATCCACATGGGGCCGACATCGGCCTGGGACTCKGCATTGAAGGGGAAGTATTGTGTCTGAGTCCGTGTCCTGCCCTGGGACAAACTTCATTAATGCTTTGCATGGTGAGACAGACACATCCAAGCCTTGGGACATTCATCTCCAGACTTTGCAGTCCCTCCTGCCCGCTTTGCCAYGGCCTGGCACTCCTGGTGGGTGGTTTTAAGCTCCTGAGCCTCCTTTGGGCAGGACATCCAGGTGTTTTGTTGGGAAGAGGAACAGCAGRTGGCTGTGATTTTGGTTCCTCTCCTACATCGTCTGATTTGTGGAGCAGTTCTGGTGCAAACTCCCTCCYTCTTGAGACTTGGAACCGATTGGAAGATTTGGGTCCAGGGGGTCCTTGGTGCATAACTGCTTCTTCCCTGGACAGAGCTGCTCTGCCTCAGATTCTGGGATGCTCTGGGCCGTGGGGAAAAGCCTCCAAGGGATGGTCATGGTCTGAGGTGTCTCTTTTCAGACTACAAACATTTCTGCAGGGAGGAGGTGCAGGCACTGCGGCCACGGGAACCTGCTGGGGAAGGCTCCCAGCCCTGCACTCCAGGCTTGTGCTAAAACCCAGCCCAAGGAGAGGGTGTTGTGGGCAGCAAAAGTGTTCTGGCTCCAATCTCTGGGCACAGCTGGGATCTCCTGGGGCAGTGGGAGCTGAGCCACAGCAGGGAGTGGAGGAGCTGGAGTGACCTCCTCCAGGCCCTGGGGCTGGAGGTGTCTGTGGGTCTGCTCAGCCTGGTGTAACCCCTCTGCTGCCAGCAGACCCCAGARCCAGCCACCTCTGCTGCTGCTGGCAGCTGTCCCGGGGCACCCTACGTGTGCACAAACCTTGTGTGGGCTGGTTGTCACCCACGCTGGCCAAGCCTCCTCTCCTCAGAGTGCCTCACCTTGGTCCTTTCCCGGTCAGCCACGGAGCAGATAGGAGCACGGGGCAGCTGAGGTGAGGGGAGGCCAAGGGAACATTCCAGCTCCAGCCTGGTGAGCACAGGGAGAACAAGGAGCCCGTGGAAGCCGGTGCTGTGTAGCGAGGCTGCCTTGGCCACCATCGAGGCGGTGTCCTCGYTCAGCCACCAGCTCCAGCAGCCTGSCTTCCAGGACAGCACCTCACTGCATCGCCTTGGAAAACATTTTCTTTGCAAACCTAAGGAAACTGTGTGTGTGTGTGTGTGCAGGGGAGAGGCCTGAGGTGTCCCCAGCCACCGCCTTGCTCTGCTTGCACATAAATTGACATCTTGTAAGAGAGCTGTCCAGAATACTGAGTAATTATAGCTCACCCTGAATCACAGAGGAATGTGGGCACARCAGCTCTCTTACAAATCACTGCAAAGGCCTTACAGATTAAACCCTTCTTCCCCCCATTAAAGGGCTGCATTTGTGCTGTAAACAATAAAAATAGCAAGTGCTGTTATTAACGAGGATGTGCTGCAACTGCTGACTCCAAGGCACAGCTCGTCTCCATATGGCCATTACAGTTGAAGGACAAAAACAATATTTTATGTTTCTCACAGTTATTGTTCATCATATGTTTATGAAAATGCATAATGACTGCGTATGATGAGCGCGCTTTTCAATAACACAAGTGAGATGAGGACCCGYGTGAATTTCCAATCCAAATAAGAAAGACCATTAAATTAATAGCTTAATTACACAATAAATTTCAAAACATTTGCTAGAATGCATTTTATTTTTATTTAACCTAATAACATGTTTAACTGCAACTCTTTCTGGGATTTGTGTAATAAACCCGCAGCAATGGTGATGCTTGTCTGATTCTCAGTTTGCATTTTTATTGCCCTTCTGGAGGGTGCCGTGTGGTCCCACAGCACACACCAGGCTGGGGKTGTGTGATCACAGGCTCTGAGAGGGCTCTGAATTCCTGCTCCCAGAAATGCTGAATGCATCATTGCAGTACTGATCTCTGTCCAGCAGGACCTGCGTGGGTTTATTCTCCCACTCACGCACTCCAAGGTGCTCCCTGCCAGCTCTGGGCCCTGCACAGGCTGTGAGATTTAACAGTGCATCTTTCAAGCAAGCAGTCGCTATTAATGACCCTCCCTTCCTCACTGCAGCTGTCTGGCTTCGTGCCGAGTCTGACACCATGCGTGGTCATTCCCTGCTCTCAGTGGGGSACTTTGGCCGAGGATGGCATCCCCACTTGGGTAGGGGTGTTGATGAAGGGGGAGATGAGCAGAAGAGTGCTTCAGGAAGGGCAGAGGGGCTGGGCAGTGGGGGCAGGTGCCCCCAGGAGCTGCCTGCAGCCATCGCTTTGGGAGACAGAAGGAACTGGGTGAGGGCAGCATAGAGGAGAGGCCGTGGTACAGTCAGCAGGATGAGTCAGACCAGAAATCAAGGACATGAACAGCTCAGCTGAGGATCTATGGGATTTGGTGTCACTGACAAACTCYGCCCAGGGATGTGTCAGGGAGCCTGGGGTCCGTGCCTCACTGTGCTTTGGGGTCAGTGGAGAGGGGGCTGAGAGCAGGTGTGAGCCAAATCCTGCAGGCTGGGGGCTGCTGGGGCTGTGATCCTTCCTCCACATCCCTTCCCTGGGCTCTGCCTGTGTCTCCATCCCCTGAAAGCCGTGGCCCTGTGCGCCTCCTGTTCCTCCTGCATACCCCTCGTGCTGCCTGCTCACTCAAAAAAACAGTGCTCACACCATGGCCCAAGAAAACCCTCTGGGAATGRTCTTGCAGCAGTTTTGGGAGCAGGTTGTGGTGTCCCATCACTGTSCCCTCATGGATGGGCTCTGGGCTTGGCCTGTGCACATCACTTGGGAGAATGAGGGCAGTTTCTTTTCAAATCCATGAGAAAAAGAAGCAATTGGGGTCTTTTCACTTMTTCTTCTGGCTGAACTGTCAGTAGCAATATCCCTGCATGCAGTTAATGTGTCAGGCTGGGAGATTTGAGGCTTGTGCTGCTCAGCAGATCTGCTGAGCACTCTCCAAAGCAGAGCTACAGCGATGTCAGTAACAACCAACGTCCCACAGCAGCAGCAGGACCTGTAGCAGGAGCTTTTGAGAGGCATCATGCAATTAACTGAAACTTCTGTAAACTATAAATATATAATTAGAGTCTGTCTAATGAGTTATAGTGGTGGAGGGGGTGTGTATGCACAGTTCCTGGGCACAAACTCCTCCCTGGCTGGGAGCAGCACATTTCCAGCAGCATCGCRGTGTTTATGTTCCACTTAATATTCCACTTGCAAAAAGGTGTTTTATTAAATGACAATTTGAAACTTAATTGTATTAATTTTCCATTGATTGCATATCTAATTCTAAATGAACTCACTGGCAGCTCACTTCCCTGCTGCACGTTGAATTAATCTCAACAGCTGATACGCTGCAAACACAGTGTGGAGGAGTCACAGGCGTGTCACCTGCCTGCCACCTGCTCCTGCAGGTGCTGAACACTCCCCCTTTGCACCCCAAGAATGGGGCCAAGGCTTTTGCTCTGCAGGGGAGGATTCTCTCAGGGGTTTTCATCCAGCTGGGGTTCTKGGCCTAACCTTGGCTCTTGGCCCTTGGTCCTCTGCTTGTTGAGATCCTGTTGGAGGCTCATGACTCATGCCAGACACGACAGGCTGGTCACAAATGGTCACCCTCAGCAGGTATGGGTCTCTGGGGGCTGATGTACACCCATGATTGCTCCAGGGATGGCCGAGGAGCAGGATTGTTCTCCTCTTGCTTGGAAACAAGATGTGCCTGTGCCCAGGACCTGCTTTGTGTCCTTGGATTTCTTTCTGTGCTCTTCCATGGGCTCCATCCGTGGCCACCACCATCCTGAGCCCTTCCAGGCCCTGCTGCCCTGGTGGGATGCCCTTGTGTCCGAGCACTGAGGGTCACTGCCTGTACAGGTGGGTGGGATGGACTGTAAAGACCCAGTGGAGTGACCACAGGTCCTCTGCCTTCAGCCACAGCCATGGCTGCCCTCCTTAGTGTGTCCTTCTGTGACACCTGCCCCTGCCTAGGGCTGTCCTTGCCACCAGGAGCTGTGCTGCTCAGTGGCTCTGCCTGATGACCTGCACTTTCTGGGCCAAGGATCCATGATTTGGGAGGATGCATGACACAGCTGAAATTCCCTCCCGCCAGTGAAAAATGAGCCCAGATGTTTCTCCAGACAGCCTTTGAGGTGTGGGAGATGCTGTGCAGTCCCTGTCCCTCAATGCTSTCATGTGCCCTGATGCTGGATACTGAAGCTGTGCTGAAGATGTGCTGAAGGACATCACCAACAGCTTCCTCACCCCTGATCCATCCAGGGGCTGCTCCAGATGCTCCTGCGGCTGGAGAAAGGAGAGGTTCCCAAGAGGAACTGTTAGCAAGGACCTTGCTGAGTCCATAAGCACCAGCATGGGCTGTTCTCAGTGCTCTGCTGCCCCATACTCTCCCCAGCCCCAAATCCGTGTTGTCTCAATAAAAACAAAGAGTGTGTCTCACTTGGGAACACTCATGCTCTGGTTCCTGCTCCCACAGAAGCTCCTCCATCCACAGCAGCCATGAGAAGAGGCATGGGCAGGTCCCCAGTCCCAGTTTGCTAAGGGGGTGGGGTGGTGGTGGCAGCCTGCAGGGAAGGTGTGAGCTGTCTAGCGGTCAGAACAGGGATGGTGACACTTTCCTTCAAAGGGACATGGGACACCACAGGCTGGGAGGCAGTGGGACAACAGCCTGTRTGCAGAACAGTCACACCCTGGGATCTCTGGGGTGCAGGGGTGGCTACACTCAGCCTTATGGACTGGAATGGCTGCAGGAGCTGAGCAGTGTCCTTGCCCCAGAGTGGCTGCAGGAATTGAATTGGGCAGTGTCCTTGCCCCAGAGTGGCTGCAGGAATTGAATTGGGCAGTGTCCTTACCCCAGAGTGACCTCAGGAGCTGGGCAGTGTCCTTGCCCCACAGTGGCCACAGGAGCTGGGCAGTGTCCTTACCCCAGGCACCGTGTCCCTGCTCCTGCTGCTCCCCAGCTCAGCATCTCTGCTGAACAAGGGACCATCACTTTTATAGGCACTACAGCAGCCATTGCTTTATTCCAACGGAGGCTTCTTACGGTTCAGTATCATTAAATACAGATGCAACTTGTGTTCCTAAAGCCATAATGCCCCTTCCTGTTACTGCTTCACAATTAACTGGGCTATAAAGCTTTCAAACATATTGCAGGCACTAATTCAACTGGATGGTGAAGAAACACGGTTTTATTGGGCAATTACAGAGCTTGGAACATGTTCCAGTCTGCACGGTACCTTCCCAACAGGAATGGGAGCTGCCAGGCCACGTCACSGAGAAAGGTCAAAAGGTGGCAACTAAATGGCTGCATCTCTGGGCTGCAGGGATAGTTTTATTCACATCTTAATAAAGAGCTCTCCAGGAGTGATGAGAGCTCTGCGATCTGTGCAGGTTGGGCTGGACCATCCCCCCTGTGCCTCTGCTCTGCTGCTGCCAGCCCTCCCTGTTTGCTGCTGCTGCCCATCTGCTCATCCTGCTGCTCCCAGTCCAGTGTCACACCCTCCACACTCAGCCACACCGGGTGTTCTGGTCTCTGCAGAGCTGGGTGGGGAATCCCTCCATCCCCCGGCTCCTGCTGGGCTCTGGGGGTGCTCAGGTTTCTGGGCAGGAGGAGCAGTGGGGGCACAGCAGCTCTCTGGATCTTGGTCTCACGTGTTGGGTCCTGTTCCTTTGGTAGGGTCCTGTCCTGGCTCTGGGGAACACTGGGAAGGGGGAAAAAATGTGCTGAGCAGAGTGGTCCTGGGCTGCCAGGGGAGTAGGAGAGCCTGGGAAGCTGCGAGGGCTCCTGGGACCATTGCTCTGGTGGCTCCCAGGTGGGAGAGGGTCCTGATCTCCTGAGGCACCTGCAGCCTGTCCCAGGGACAGGACCCTCAGTGCCTTTGCTCCTGACACCAGAGACACATGGCATGGTATGATGTGTGCCAGGTACGTGGGCATGTCTGTGGGCAGGACATGAGAGCAGGGATGGGTTCCTACACCACATCGAGTGCAGAGTTCTCTCTGGGAGATGTCCTCCCACTCAAATGTCCCTCCTCATTCCTGCAGGCTCTTGGA